TTTGTTAGATGGTGATTACAGAAGGAGTGGCTAGGCGAAGTAGGAATGGGAGGCCAGGCTGCGTAGAGAAAGACCGGACCTCTGCAAACTGAGCCAGGGGCTTTCTGGAGCTGCCGAGAGCCTCCCGGAGCAGCGGCTGGTGCCAGCCTCTGGGAGCAGCAGGGCTTGGTGGGATCTAGCCGCCCTGTGCGGTACCCCGGGTAGTTGCTGAGTGTAATGTGAGCCAAGCCTGTTCAAAGATATGAGAAATGTGTCAGGCAAGGGCAAAGTCTGGGGAACAACCCCTGATAATGAAGATAAACTGTAAATGACTAAAAAGCAAAGGAATTTGCCCATAGTGCTGGTTCATGCCTTCAAGTCCCAGAACTGCAGAGCAGAGGCAGAGGCAGGAGGATTGGCCTGGGCTACATGTTGAGTCCCAGGTCATCCAGGGATACACAATAAAACTTCGTCTTAAAAAAATAAAAGTAAAAGAAAATAAATAAATAAAAGTGATGTCAGGCAGTGGTGGTGCACACCTTTAATCCAGCACCAGGGAGGCAGAGGCAGGTGAATCTCTCTGAGTTCGAGGCCAACCTGGTCTACAAAGCAAGTTCCAGGACAGCCAGAGCTGTTACAGGAAGAAAACCTGTCTCAAAAAACAAAAACAAAGTGCGTCAGATGCCCCATGGAGAAAAGAAAATGAAAATGAAGAGAAGCTGGAGGGCTGGCTCAGCAGTTAATGAGCCCTTGTTGCTTGCACCCGAGGGTGCAGTGAAGCCAAGGCCATCTCTCAGGGATCGGAGGGGACAGCAAAAAGGCAAGGGAAGCCTTGCCAGTTATAAAGAGAGGGGCAGATTCCGGGAGGAGGTGTGCAAGCCAGAACAGCCTAGATGTTCAGGTGATGGTTTCGGAGGTTGTGGGATAGTGTTACAGCTGTGTGCTAATAGGGAACTAGATGCCCTGTTCTCTCTATTTGGTAGGGGAAGGTAAGGAAAGGGCTCTTCCTGGCAGACAGAAACTCATTCATAGGTTTCAGGAGACTGCTGCGTGTAAGTTTTTGTCTATCCCAAGGCAAACTTTCTGCTTTACCCTGTCAGGGTCCAGCTTGAGCTGAGCCCAGACTGTCATTTGTGGTCATTGTTAGCTGCCATACTGGGGCCTTGGAGGTTGGGACCAAACATTACTCTTCCAGTGGACCAGGGTTTGATTCCCAGCACCCAAAAGGCAGCAGAGAAGTCTGTAACTAACTACAGTTCTAGGGGATCTGACGCCCTCCTCTGGCCTCTTGAGGAACTGCATCGTGCTTAGCTACACAAGCAGGCAAAACACCCAAACAGACCAGGCTGGTCTCAAATTCATAGAGACATCCCTGCCGCCACCTCTCCAATGTGTTAGGATTGAAGACAAAGACATAGGCCACCACACCAGGCAACAATAAATAAATCTCTAAAAAGAAAAGGAGATGATGAAATAGGAAGGATGTGGAAATAGGTTGGTACCCAAAGCTAGAAAGGATAGCTGGGGCTCTTTCTCAAGAAAATAATATTTGCACTGAGTGGCCAGGAGTCAGCAGTACAGCTGTTGAAAAATTTAACTTAAACAAAGGCCCTGAGGTGGGACTGTTTTGATGCTTTCAGTAAAGAACAGAAGAATAGCGGGTGTCACAGAGCTGAAGTCCCAGCTGTTGGGGAAGATGAGGCAGACCCCTGGGGGGTGGGGATGGGGAGCCGAAAACCAGCCTGGGAAACATTGTCTCAAACAAAAAACCTGAAAGCAACATCAGGACTGTTAACCAGTAAACATTGCCTAATATGAACAAGAGTCTGGTTTAGAGGCTTAGCATTGTAAAAGAAAACAAGCAAAAATGAGGGGGAAAAACAAAAGAATAAGCTGGGCATGGTTGCTCACACCTATAACCCCAAAACTTGGGAGGATGAAGCAGAAGGATTGCCATGAGTTTAATGCCAGCCTGGCTTACCAAGTGAGTTCCAAGCTTGCCTGGGCTATATAGTTAAGACCCTGTCTCAAAGCAAACAAAAGCAAGAGAATAATAAATCTCACCCCTATAAAGGACTCACTGGAGAAGAGATGGGTGGTGGACAGTGCTGATGTCTTCCCAGGCTCTGCGGGGACCCCCTCTGTATCCTTAATCTTTCTTTCTTTCTTTCTTTTTTTTCTTCGAGACAGGGTTTCTCTGTGGCTTTGGAGGCTGTCCTGGAACTAGCTCTTGTAGACCAGGCTGGTCTTGAACTCTTATTCCAGGTGGGACAGTGATACACCTCCCTCAAGGTCCTTGGGTGGCCCCCAGCTCTGCTGACCTCTGCTCTCTCACTTCAACACCAGGGAACTTATTATGGAGGCCTGTGCCTCACCAAGGCCCTGGCTAACTTCCCAGAAGACTGCTGCACAGCTCTTGGAGAGACCCCTACACAATAGTGCCCTTTGCTCAGGTAACTAAAGCCACTGTCCTCCTCTGCCTACACCCTGGGCTCCACTGAGCCCTCACCTTCTTGGAGAGAAGCCAGGCCTGACTGGCCTAGCACGCTGTCAGACATCATGAACACTTGGCTAAGTTCAGAGCATCGGTGGCTTTGTGAAGGGCCTGTGCCCAGCTTGGCAGTCCTTTTTGCTTTCTTTAAAGGCTCTGCCTAAGGTTACACCCAGCCTCCTCATAGGTGGAGAGGAGGAAGGGAATGTTCTCTTCAGCCTCTCTAGAATCTTGGCTTGGATTGCTTGGTTCTGGCCAGTTCTGAGGACTCACCTGTTGTCAGCCGTCAGCTAGTAGCAGCCATAGTAGCAGCCACAGCCTTGCTTGGTATTCAAACCTCCAGAAACCTTAGGCCAGGACTGAGATATAATCAGTCATTGACAGGTCCCTCAAACTGTATAGACAAAGTGTTTTAAAGTCAAGGCTACATGCAGAATAAATAAATAAGATCAAAGTTTTAAAAGTTCAAAGTGATTAAATCGTTGACATCTAAATTAAAAACTAACCTGAGAGTGGCTCATTCCTACAACCCTAACACTCAAGAAAACTGTGGCAGGATTGTCAGGAGATAGCAAGACTCTGTCACAGCAAAACAAATGGAACCTGGGGAGATGGCTCAGCAAAGAGCCTACTGTGTAAGCATGGGGACCTGAGTTCAGATCTCAGATGTCCTTGTAAAAGATGGGTGTGATGCCATAGACCTGTAACCTAGACATAGAGGGTGAGGAGATAAGTGGTTTCTGAGAGCTCGTTGGCCAGTCAATCTAACCAATTAGTGAGCATCCCATTCAGTGAAAGGCTGTTGTCAAAACAAAAGAGAAAGAGAGAAAGATAGCCAGGCAGCAGTAGTGCATGCCTTTAATCCCAGCACTCCAGGAGGTAGAGGCAGGCAGATCTGTGAGTTTGAGGGCTGGAGAGATGGCTCAGTGTTTAAGAGTATTGGCTGCTTTTACAGAGGACCCAGGTTTGATTCCTAGCACCCACAAACTGTAATGTCAGTTCCAGAGGATTCAACACCCTCACACAGACATACATGCAGACAAAACATCAATGCACATAAAACAAAAACCAAATTGACCCAAGGCAGGCGGTGGTGGTGCACACCTTTAATGCCAGCACTCAGGAAGCAGAAGCAATCAGATCTCTGAGTTCAAGGCCAGCCTGGTCTACACAGTGAATTCCAGAGCAGCTACAGTTACAAAGAGAAACCTTGTCTGGAAAAACAAACAACAACAACAACAACAAAAAAAAAAAACCAAAGGGACTGTCAGAGCTCATGGACTCACTGCCCAGATCCAATCTGCACGCAGCAACTGGAGATCAGACATGCATGCTGACAGGCCACCTTGCACACATTGTCAAGGAAGCTAATCCTCTACGTGCTGATGGACCTCATTGATGGACCTTGTGGCCTGGAGCACCTTGCAATCTCAGAGCTTTTCCTGTGTGTCAGAAGGGGATGATCTGAACTCAGGCCTGCCCCTCCCTGATCTGAGATGCTGGAGGCCACTCTGAGGAAAACATCCGCTGAAGCAGGAGTGTGTGTGATGCCAGGAGCCTGCCATCCCAGCCCTTAGAGGACAAATATGAGGATTGCCAGTTAAAGGCAATCAAGGGTAAGCTCCATACCAGATCAATCTGATCCGTTCACACCAACATACCATTTCAAAAATCCAAAAATTTTTAAATTAAAAAAAAATAAAATAGAGCCAGGTGGTTGTGGCACACACCTTTAACCCCAGCATTCGGAAGCAGAGGCAGGCAGATCTCTGTGAGTTTGAGGCCAGCCTGGTCTACAGAGCTAGTTCTAGGATAGCCTCCAAAGCCACACAGAAACCCTGTCTCAAGAAACAAAAGTAAGTAAGTAAATAAATAAGTTAATAAATGGGCTAGAGAGATGGCTGAGCAGTTCAGAGTACTTGCTGCTCTCCCAGAGGAGCTGGGTTTGCCTTCCAGCCCTCACTCCCCTTAGAACTACTTGACTGTAGTTCCAGGGCCTCTCTTCTGGCTTTGGAGGACACCAGCACACATACGATATGAACTCACACAAACACACACACTTAAATAAAAATGAAATAGAAGCATCTGCTCCCTGCTGCCTGGATCCTGGGCTCCCTGCAGGTGGTGGCAGTGCTGGGCTGGAAATGGGCAGACCTCACCCCACTAATCTGTGACCCTACTTCACAATGTCTTGAGGATAATAAAATTACATGGTGAAGCTAGAGTGCCGTTGTACAGCTTGGGTATGTGGCTGAGCAGTACCTAAGTATGAGCAAGACTCAGCGCTCCATCCCCAGAGCTGGTGAGAAGACAGAGGAAGGGTAGGCATGGAACTTGGTGAGGTGCCATGCTAGGCAGCGTATTGACTATGGGTCTCTCTGAACCTCTATCTATGGATGTTGCCCAGGTGTCACTGGACATGTGACATCGTGCTTCTAAAAATGGTTACCTATCTCTATTGAGGTAGTCTTACTGGGTTACCAGTCCCTCCCAGGGGCCAAAGGGGAAAGCAACAGGCTAAATAACTTACAGGAGACTGTTTAGCTAAGAGGGGACAGTGTGGGACTCATTCAAGATCTTCTGGGCTCCAAAGGACTTGGACAGCTCCACTTCTCTGGCTCTGTTCTCTGTAGCACTTCTCATAGGCTCAGGCCAGCTCCAAACCACAGCTGCTGCTGTCCTCAGGGTCATTCAACAGTCCTGGTATCTCCAATTTATTAGGATCTCCACTCCAACTGAGGATATGCCTTCACCAATGGCCTATCAGGGACTATCTTCAGGGACTCCAGCCCAAGTGCCAAGCCTCAGCTGCTCTCCATGACTTCTTCATATCTTCAAAACCAGTATCACCTGAGTGACTCTTACACATTACCAAGTCCAGCTGTGATGCAGCCAGGGCCCCCCTCTGGAACACAGCTTCCACGTACCGACTCTGCGGAAATATTCCCAGGAGATTTTTACCTCAATGATATTGGTCTCTTTGTTTTTCAAAACAGGATTTCTCTGTGGCTTTGTAGGCTGACCTGGAACTAGCTCTTGTAGACCAAGCTGGTCGAACTCACAGAGACCCACCTGCCTCTGCCTCCTGAGTGCTGGGATTAAAGGCGTGCATCACCAACGCCCGGCCTTGGTCTCTTCTCAATAACAGCTGATTTAATCACAGCCTTGGCTAACCAGTGTCAGTTGTCCCTGTAAAGTAAAGGCTTTCACTTCAGTGGTCTGGTCTCTTATTAATTACTGAGGACTCTTCAGCCCCAGGTGACTAGACCCACAGGTTCTTAATATAAAATGGCGCATGGGTGGCCCTGACAGTGTCTTTATTTCCCTCTGAAACTTTACAAGCCAGGTCCCCATTGCCACACTGCTCAAAGTGTTACCTAATTCCTAAAACAGCCCACCAAGTTCTGAACGCTCGTGGCTTTTCTATCCCAAAGTTCTAAAGTCCTTCCACAATCCTCCTCAAAATGTGGGCAGGTCTGTCCCAGCAATTTCCCGAAAACCTGGCACCGATTTCTGTTTTAGTTTGTTTTCTATTATTCTAGTAAACACCATGACCATAAGCAACTTAGTGAGGAAAGGGTTTATTTGACATAGAGGTCACAGTCCATCAACAGGGTCAAGGCAGGCCCCTGTAGGCAGAAAGGGAAACAGAGGCTACGGAGAAGTGCTGTTTACTGGCTTGTCCCCACTGGCTTGTTCAGCCAGCTTTTTTATACAATCCCAGGACCATCAGCCAAGGGGTGGCACCATACACAAGAGATGGGCAGGGCCCTCCTCCAATATCAGTCATTAACGGCCCCCCAGACTGACCTACGGGAATCTGATGGGGGCACATTCTCAACTGAGGTTCCTTTTCCCTCATGACTCCAACCTGTATCAAGGTAACAAAAAAACAAAGAAAAACCTACCTGGAACAAAAGGAGCAGTAAGCTCCTGGGTGGGAAATTTGTTGCTACAGGAAACAGATCAAAGTGGACTTGTCTGGAATATCTCGGCCTGTGGTGCAGACCAATGTCTGGTTCCCAGCAAAGTTCCCTCAGGAGTCAGAGCCAGGTGTCTCTCTCATGTGTGTGAGCAGGACGTTCTCTGAGGGGAACAGTCAGACACACAATGAGAGGTGTCCTAGGGTGGACAAGAGGCCCCTGGGATTGGGCAGAGTGACTGGTACCAAGGAGAAGACAGTGTTCTTTGGTGACTGAGTTTTGTGTCCACAGAGAGTTCTGAGGGTATTTGGGCCCTAACTGGGGTGCTCAGTCCGTTTGGGATGGTAAAACTGCAAAGGGGGCAGAGTCCGGCAGGAAGGAGTTTTGTGGTGAGCTATGGGGCCAAGAGCCAGGGCAAGATCCAACAGCTGGCAGGATAAGGAAGGCTGTGAACAAATAAGACAGGTCCTGCACCGAGCAGACATGGCCCCTTTTTGGTCCACCCTTTGTCCACTTCGATGGGCTGAGGCCTGTGGTCAGAGGCCAAACAAGTTACCTCCTGCCTCAGCCTGTTTCCCTCACAGCAGGCTGAGACTCTCTTACTTCTGACTTCAAGCCATTGGTATGTATGAAATTCTTGTCTCTCCTGTGGCTGCCCGGCCCACATCTGGCCGGAGTGGAATGCTGTGCCCTCTTTCTACCTTTTTGTGTCTGTTGTTCTTAAGCTTCGGAGCAATTTGTCAAGATTAATTGGACACTGAACTGCTCTCTCTGGAAACACAGGAAATGTCTAGGCATCAGAACAAAGCTTGTGTGGGACGATTCCCATGATAAGGATGACCTGTGGCCAGAGGCTCAGGCTGCCACAGCCCAGGATGAAAAGATGCCTTGTTGGAGGCATCAGGGATGAAATAATTTGTTTTGCTCATTTCCACCATCTCCCTGCTTTTCTCCCTAATTCTTAAGGAGACACCACCCTCTAATGACTGGCAGGGCCCTTGTCACCTTCAGGGCTGACCTCTCTGTGTGCCTGGACCCTGCATGGAGCATACTTGGTTTACTTTCTTGGATGATTGGACAGGCCCAGTGTCGGGCCCAGTTACCACAACATTATCCTGCTCTTCCAGAACACACTTTGCGAAGGAAGGTGGATTTATATAACCTTCCTTACTCCAGACAGAATGCATTATTTCCTGCCCTTACTCCAGCATCTGCCATTGATCGGGGATTGGTCACAGTTCAGTTGTGGTTAGTAGTTAACTGCAGTTCCAGACTGAAGGATGGGACAATATGTTTCTCTATATTCTCCACACACTCTGGGGCCGCAGCCTGAGTCCCCACCTCTAGGCAAGTGTCCACCATCCTTCAGTGGTCCTGCCTCTCTGTTAGTGTATCTTCCCTCAAAAGCCAGGGAGACGCCTCAGTATACGTTCCAGGCCAGAATCCTCGTGGCACAGGAAAGCTGCTGAGTTGAGAAGAGATCACAGAGCTCAGCCCTGGTGCCACAATGCTTGAGGTCCTAACTCGATGCCCCTAATCCCGGCACTGGGGAGGCAGAGGCTGGAGAAGTCTACCGTCAGGCTGGTCTGTCTCAGAAAAACAAACAAACAAACAAATAAAAACAAAAGAGGGGTTTCATCCAGATAGCCACACGCAGTCTCCTAGAGACTCTTGTACGAGGTGTGACCGTTACTGACTAGCAAGGTCACCCAGGCTGAAAATATAAATATGCTGTCAGGAGTAAAGGCCAACGGGGTCCTACTGGACTCGAAGCATCCTCAACCAAACCCACAGGCATCAAGACAGGTAACTTTTTTGTTTGTTTGTTTGTTTTTGTTTTCAAGACAGGGTTTCTCTGTGTAATAGTCCTGACTGTCCTAGAACTCTCTCTGTAGACCAGGCTGGCCTCTAACTCACAGAGATCCACCTGCCTCTGCCTCCCAAGTGCTTGCGCCACCACCAGGCATAAGACAGGTAACTTTAAATAGCATATCAGCTAAAAATAATTTCTTTCTTTTAGCATCATTAACAATAACATTGTGCTATTTTTGTATGTGACTACAGCTTTCATACACGTGCTTTCTCGTTTAGTTTTTATGACAACCTATGAATAGATAAGCTGGGTTCTTAGTGCAGACTTCACAGAGAGGAGAGCTGAAGCTTAATTTGCTCAAGGTCGCATGCCTCTCAGAAGGCAAAGCTGCCTCTGGTGCACTTTCCCTGTGTCTCCAGGCCCTCTGCCCATCCAGTAGCAACAGTCTTGGGTCCTACTGTGCGATTCCCAGCCAGATAACCACATCTGTGGCTACTTGGTACCTAAGACCCTAAGGACAGGGCTCCATGATGGCTGTGTCTGAGGGAGGGGGGTCCCTAGTTACTCATTCTCCTCCCTTATAATAGCTACCATTTGATCAAATATGTAGAATGGGGGATGAGAGGTTTTGTTTGTTTGTTTGTTTGGTTGGTTTTTTTTGTATGTTTGTTTGTTGTTTTTTGTTTTTTTGTTTTGTTTTGTTTTTCGAGACAGGGTTTCCCTGTGGCTTTGGAGGCTGTCCTGGAACTAGCTCTTGTAGACCATGCTGGTCTCGAACTCACAGAGATCTGCCCGCCTCTGCCTTCCGAGTGCTGGATTAAAGGCGTGCGCCACCACCACCCGGCTAGAATGAGAGATGTTTCTGCAGTCAAGAGCATTTGTTCCTCTTGCAGAGGACCTGGGTTCACTTCCCAGCACCTCCATGGTGGCCAACTCCAATTCCAGGGCATTCCTCTTCTTAACTCCCTGGGCACCAAGTACACATCCATGCAGGTAAAACACTCACACATACAATAAATACATACATTTTCAAAAACCTGTAAAATGGTTATGTCAAGACAATACCAAAGAACATCACCTGAGAAACCTTTCCAATCAGCAGAGAACATTCTAGAAGCCTAATACAGAAGCTAGATCTAATTAGTGGTCCTGTTTCCCAAGCAGAGATGTAGGGAGATTTATAGACATTCAAACATACTTAACATAATTATCATAGTACTGATGACTGCATAACCCTAATGCCTCTCGAAGTCATGTCTGATCAGTTCGTCCAATCCCATAGGTATGTGCTTCCTGTTTGGAGAGCCCTGAACAGCAAGCAGACACACATAGCATGGGGACCCCTGGGCTTGGCTGGGAGACAATAATCAAATCAGGAAATGTTCTGATTTTGGAGATTCTGACTAAGTTTGGAGTTCACAGGGCACAGGTCTGAGAGTCCAGAGTGCCCAGCCACATCTCAGTCTTCATCTTACCCAGTAGGTCATGTCCTGTTTCTTCATTGTCTCAATACCCAAGAACCAGCTCACCCATGATGGCAAGAGACAACAGCCAGAAAGTGCTGGAATGTAGCCAGAGCTGTTTAGGCGGTGCTCAGCACGTCTTGCTTATGGGCTCATCCAACAGCATGTAATGAATACCTACTATGTGCAAGGTAAGGTGGGTAGTCACAGAGTACACGTGGTAGAGTGTCCACCTTCTGGGCACCTGGGATGAGAACGGGAGGTGGAAGTTCCCTCAGGAACAGTGTGGGAGTGAGCAAAGCCAAGTCAAAGTTTAAAGGTCAGAAGGGCATCATCAATGAGAAAGGACAGTGTGGGACAATGTGACAGACCAGGAAATGATGTCTAGAGACCAGCCAGGCGTGTAACAGTTGTGAATGGAACAGAGATGAGTAAACCATGAATCTGAGGGGAGGAAAGACAAAGGCCAGACGTTCAGGAAATGGTTGCCATGACGACACACCAGAGACAGACAGCTTCGGATTCCTTACTGGGTTCTGCCTTAATACACTTCCTTTAAGGACAACATGTCACAGCATAACTCAGTTTAACATGCTGTTAAGTCAACACCCAACCAGACTTAACCTTATTATGTAGCCCAGGCAAGTTGGGACCTCAGTCAGTGCAGGGATTAGATACTCTGGGCAAGAAAGAATCTTTTGAGTAAATTTATCAGAATCTCTCAGTTTTCCTGTACACAAGACACATAGGTAACAGTGCTGAGATAGCCCACACCTGTAATCCCAGCACTGGGAGGGTAGAGACAAGGACATCAGGGATTTAAGGTCATTCTTGTCTACACAGCAAGTTTGAGGCCTAGGACAAACACATACTCATGGATAACAGTACCTGACTAGAAATACAAGGAGAAAGGGCCCAGGATTCGACTCAGTGCCGAAGAGCACTGGCTGCGCTTCTGAGGGACCCAGGTTTGATTTCAAGCATCCATGTGGCTGCTTTCTGTAGCTTTAGTCCCAGTCTGCCACCCTCCTCTGGCTTCTTCAGGCACCAGGCATACACATAGTGCATAGACAACATGCATGCAGACAAAACACCCATACACAGAAAATAAAAATAAGGAAATCTTAAGAAAAAGAAAGCCGAGAAGGAGAATGAGGGGTTGCAAACTGGTTCTCTTTGTAGTTGTAAGATTTGAGGGAAATCTACTGGATTTATTTGTCTTTTCTTCTTCTTCCAGAAGCAGGGTTTCAGTTTTTCAGGGTGTTCTCAAGCTTCTGAGCTCCCGTGAAGAAGGGCACCTGCAGGCCATCATAGTTGGCTTTGGGACTTTCTGTTTGTGTATCTATAAATAGACTAACAGTCCCCATCGTACTGGGCTACAACTAGGACAGAATTACATATGTGTACAAAATCCTCGCAACCGCCCCAGGCAGAGTACATGCTGTCTGTCACTAAATTATTGCTTAGGTGCTGGGGGTCAAACCCAGGGCTTTGATGGGGACTTGCAAAGCCCTACCACTCAGCTTGGACACTGAGTATACCCTGAGAGTGTGCTGGGTCCCCCCCCCCAATTAAAGCCCTACCTATCACATATCCTTTCTGCTCCCCCTGAATGGTGAGGCCTTCCATAAGGTGTCATCAGAGTCTATCGTATCCTTTGGGATAGGGCCTAGGCCCACCCCCGTGTGTCTTGGCTCAGGGAGTATCCCTCTATGTGGATTGGGCTCCAAAGTCCACACCTATGCTAGGGATAAGTACTGAACTTCTACAGGAGGTCCCGTAGATTTCCAAGGGTTCCTCGCTGACACCCATGTTCCTGGGGTCTGGATCAGTCCCATGCTGGTACCCCAGCTATCAGTCTGGGGACCAAGAGCTCCCCGGGTGTGCTGTTTTTATTATTAAGATTTATTTTTATTTTATGTTTGAATGTTTGCCTGGATGTATGTAAATTCACCATATGGTGTCTGTGCCCACGGAGTCCAGGAGAGGGCATGGAATCCCCTACACCTGGGGTTGCAGAGAGTTGTGACTACCACGTGGGACTGACCCTGGTTTCAGGCAAGAGTAGCCAGTGCTCTTAATTGTCAAGCCACCTCTGGAACTCATTATTGAACCAGTATGCTCTGGGATTTTAAAAATTATTTTTTCTTAGCCAGGAGGTGGTGGTGCATGCCTTTAATCCCAGCACTCGGGAGGCAGAGGCAGGAGGATCTCTATGAGTTCGAGGCCAGCCTGGTCTACAGAGTGAGTTCCAGGACAGTCAGGGCTACACAGAGAAACCCTCTCACCCAACTTCATTTCTTCTTCTTCAGATTTATTTTCTTTCTAATTATGTGTGTAGTGTGTGTCTGTGCACGCATGTAGGGTTGTGCCCGGGTGAGTACAGGTACCCTCAGTATCCAGAAGAGGGTGTTGGATTCCTTAAAGTTACAGGAGATTGTGAGCTGCCTGATGTGGGTGCTGGCCATTGAACTCAAGTCCTCTGCAAGAGCAGTGTGTATTCTTCTCTCTCTCTCTCTCTCTCTCTCTCTCTCTCTCTCTCTCTCTCTCTCTCTCTTTTGGTGGTGTGTGGGGGGAGCATTGAGACAGGGTTTCTCTGTGTAACCCTAGCTGTCCTGGTAATAAGGCTGGTATCAAACTCAGAAATCTGCCTGCCTCTGTCTCCTAAATCTTGGGACTAAAGGCCTGTGTTACCACACCTGGCTTCCCTCCCCACCCCCTGAGACAGGGTTTCTCTGTGGCTTTGGAGCCTATCTTGGCACTCGCTCTTGTAGACCAGGCTGGCCTCAAATTCACAGAGATCTGCCTGCCTCTGCCTCCGGAGTGCTGGGATTAAAGGCATGTGGCACCAACGCCCTGCCACACCTGGCTTTTTTTTATAACCTTGCATATAACACCTTTGGGGTAGGGTCTGGAAAGCATACACAGACACATACATACACACACACACAAAAACACACACACACACCCCACGCATGCACACACACACTCACACAAACATACACACATATGCACACACATACACATATATACACATACACCACATACACACACACACACACACACACACACACACACACATGCACACACAGCATCTATACTAGAATTTTAGATGACTTAATCTTGTGTAGGTAGCCAAGCTTTGACTTCATGACTGACAGCCATGTCACACCCAGCAGACAGCATTTCACTGCACTACTCCCTCTCCTCCTGCTGGAGCCCTGGTTGGAGGGACAGCTTAATAAAGATGAGACATGTAGTGCTGAGCCCTCACTCAGTCTCCCATCCTCAGCACCTTGGCCAGGTTTATCTCTGCACTGACATCTGCCTACTGCCGTTGATCCACTGATCTCTGACGAAGGCTGAGATCAGCCCAAGTCTGTGTGCGAACATACAACTCCAGAGGGCAATTTGACAGCATGGCCATTTAGCAGAATAATAAGAGCAGGCTCCACAGCAGGGCCTGTGGCCTCCTGGATGCATGGTTTTTCCACCAGGAAGCTGTTATTTACCCTGCTGTTGCACCTGTAGGCAGAGCTGGCCTGGCATGTAACATGCAGACTATGCATTCGGCACTGGGCACACTGATGTTGTCTCTGCCCTAGAAGCCTTCGTGGCGCTATCTGAAAGCTCGCCAGCAAAGAGAGGACTTTCCGTGCTCACTTCGGCAACACATATACTAAAATTGGAACAATACAGAGATTAGCATGGCCCCTGTGCATGGATGACATGCAAATTCATGAAGCATTCCTTATTTTTGAAGAATAAAAAAAGAGAGAGGATGTTCTGTTTTGAACACAAAGTCTGATTTGCTTTTGTTGTCTGTTTGTGCCTATCATGGTATAAGACAGCCTTGGTTAGCCTGGCTATGTTATATATTTGGATCTTCCTGACTCCAGTTTCCAAATGCTGGGATTACAAGCACAGTACCATGCCCAGCTTGGTCAGCACTCTTTGTCTTCTATTTGTCCCTGCTCCAGAGATGCTTTTGAGTGAACATCTACTTCTTGCATAATTTCCTTAGCTTATTCTTTAAAGACAGGGTCTCATCTCTAACCTGGGCTGGCCTGGAACTCACTGTGTAGCCTAGACTGGTCTTGGAGCAATCCTCTTGCTTCCAACTTCCAAACACTGGGATAGCAGGCATGAACACTAGGCCCAGCCCTTTTCTGTTTCCTTTTTTGGTTTTTCAAGTCAGGGTTTCTCTGTGTAGCTCTGGCTTTCCTGGAACTTGCTTTGTTGACCAGGCTGACCTTGAACTTACAGAAATCTACCTGCCTTTGCCTCCTGAATGTTTCGATTAAAGGAGTGTGCCACCATGTCTGGTTTAGGCTCAGCCCTTATGTAATCTTTCTAAAAAAAGAAAAGAAATAAAGAAAAAAAACTTTTTATGTTCAAGATGGGATCCACAAATTTAATCTTAGCCTTCATCAGTTGCTGAGGCATTGGAAAGTTCCCTAGACCACCAAGTCCAGGGAGGTGACAGCTGTGGATCTCTTTGGTGCTTGGCCATCTCTTAATGGAAAGGACTATTTGTGACCTTCAGCTCTCAGCAGTTACAAATGTCAAAGGCAGGACCTTCCTGACTCCAGCAGCTCCCCTTCAGTTGGTAAAGCCTGCCTGTCCTGCAGTTAGTGTCCTCACAGGTAAGGGGCTGGGACAGTCAGGGTCCCCACTGAAAGAGCCTGTCCTCAAACCCTTTCCCCACCCTGTACCCTGAGGGGAGGCAGAACTTTGATCCTCTGCCCTTGCTGCAGCCTGGGCAAAGGGGCTTTCCCGGAGAAGACAGCTCTATAAATACTTCTCCAGGTCAGGACTGTGTGTCCACAGAAGTCCTGGAGAAGCCACTCCTCCAGAGATGGCATTAACCATTGCCCTCCCAAGCTCTTCAGGAAGGAATGCAAACCCAGGATCTGAGCAGTGTTAAGGAGAAGCTCCAGTGGAGGCTGTTGTCATGTTTTGTGATAGCTTTGTGGGTTTTTTGATTTGTTTTTGGTAGTTTGTTTGGTTGGTTTTTGGTTTTGGGTATTATTTTGTGGGTTTTGTTTTTTGTTTTGTTTTTCCAGAAAGGGTTTCTTTGTGTAGCCCTAGTCTTCCTGGAACTTGCTCTGTAGAGCAGGCTGGCCTCGAACTCACAGTAACCCACCTGCCACTGCCTTCGCCTCCAATTTCTGGGATTAAAGGTGTGCACCACCATCATCCAACACACTTTATGTTTTTAAAGTTTGTTTTGGGTGTTTTTAGTGACTTGTCAAAAATTCTAAATTAGAGTATTTTATAATTCAATAAAAATTAGGGTAGGGGGCTCGGCTGGGAAGATAGCTACCTTTAATAGTGCAGGCCTTTAATCCCAGCACTTGGGAGGCAGAGGCAGGTGGATCTTTATGAGATTGAAGCCAGCCTGGTCTACAGAGTGAGTTCCAGGACAGCCAGGGCTATACATAGAACCCTGTATGTATAGAACATAGAATCCTGAAAAAAAAAAAAAAAAGAGTGCTTATTGCTCTGCAGAAGACCTGAGTTCAGTTCCCAGCTCCCAAATCATGCAACTCACAACTACCTGTAATTCCAATTCCAATTCTAACAGATCTGACACCCTCTTCTGGCTTTCATGTGCGCGTGCGCACGCACGTGCCCACACACACACACACACACACACACACACACACACACACACACACACAAACTAAACAAATCTAAAATAAAAAAATCTTTAAAATTAGCTCAAGGTGATTCATTAAAAAAAAAATACTAATTTCACCAGTCGTTGGTGGCGCATGCCTTTAATCCCAGCACTTGGGAGGCAGAGGCAGGCGGATCTCTGTGAGTTCAAGGCCAGCCTGGTCTCCAGAGCGAATGCCAGGATAGGCTCCAAAGCTACACAGAGAAACCCTGTCTCGAAAACCCAAAAAAATTACTAATTTCGATTTATTTATTTAATCTTTTTTTTTTTTTTTTTTTTTTTTGGTTTTTTGAGACAGGGTTTCTCTGTGGCTTTGGAGGCTGTCCTGGAACTAGCTCTTGTAGACCAGGCTGGGCTCAAACTCATAGATATCTGCCTGCCTCTGCCTCCTGAGTGCTGGGAATAAAGGTGTGTGCCACCACCGCCCGGCTCTATTTAACCTTTTTTAAAAAATAGAACTGGAGAGATGGTTCAGTGGTTAAAAGTGCTTACTTACTGCTTGTGCAGAAGACCCAGGTTTGTTTCCCAACAACCACCTGGAATGTGCCATGGGCATGCCTGGTGCCCAGGGAGGTCAGAAGAAGGCATTGGATCTTCTGGAACTGGACTACATTTGTGAGCCACCTTGTGGGTGCTGGGAATGGAACCCAGTGACCTTGCAAGTACTCCAAACCTCTTTTCCCTTTCTTGAGCCTCCTTCTCCAGGGTGGCCTTGAACCCACAATGCTTCTGCAGGCCCCAGCCTCCTTAATGCTAGGATCACACTTATTGCCACCAATTCACATATTTCTTGTAACTCTGCAAACCATGATACAGAGCCTGAAAAATAAAAATGTGTAAGCAGCACTTGTCCTGAAGGAATGTAGGGATTTGTTGAGAAAACAAAATATGCAGGTTAAATTTCAAATAAGGTTAAAAATCCTGGCTTATCCCAACACTGTAATCCCATGCTCAGCTGGCTGAAGCCAGAGTTCAAGTTTGGGGTCAGCTTGGGCTACACAGTGAGTTCCCATCAACCTGTCCTATTGTTATCACAGGGCCTGTCTCAAAAACAAACAGTAGCATTCTGCCTTTTTCAGGGCTGGGAATGGAAACTGGGCTTCCTGCGTGTAAAGCTCACTAAGTTACATCCCCAGCCCCAGGACTGTTTTATAGACACACCCATCATCTTTGAGATAGCTCCTGCGTCCACAGAGCCCCATATTAACTCCAAAGTGGTCAATGTTCACTGGCAGGGTCTGTGCTATTAGACTGAGCACTTTCGGGATGGAGACTAACTTCTATGCCCTCAGCAAGAGCTATACGCTGTGCTATTCCACTCAGCACTTTCGGGATGGAGACTAACTTCTATGCCCTCAGCAAGAGCTATACAAGAAGTGTTAGGCGGGGCACCAAGGGCCTCTGTTGTTTTGTGGGGTCACAAGACAATGTTGCTAAAACTTCTATATTTGTGTGTTTTGACATTTAGGTTGTGAACCTGGCCTTTAATGGCTGAGTCATCTCTTTAACCTTGATTGGGTGTTTTTGCTTTATTTTTTTAGATTTTTCAAGACAGGGTTTCCCCTGTGTAATAGCCTTGGCTGTCTTGGAACTTACTCTGTAGGCCAGTCTACCCTAGAACTTGCTGCGTTTCCTAGGCTGGTCTTGAACTTGCAGTGGTCCTCCTGCCTCAGTCCACCAAGAACTGAGATTAGAAGCATGCACTACCATGCCCAGTATGTTTTCAAAAAAAATTTACAAGGTTGGACTGATATGGTGGTGTACGACTTTAATTCCAACACTTCCAGGAGCAGAAGCAGGTGGATCTCTACATAGTGAGGTCCAGGTGGCTCAGGACTTAATAGTAGGACCCTGCCTCAAAAATAAACAACCAAGCCAGGTGGTGGTGGCACACACCTTTGATCCCAGCACAGGCAGAGGCAGGAGAATCTAGTGAGTTCGAGGACACCCTGGTATACAGAGTGAGTTCCAAGACAGCCAGACCTGTTACAAAGAGAAACTCTGTCTCAGAAAAACCAAAACGAACAACAACAGCAAAATAAATAAACAAACAAATAAACAAACATCTACCTACGAAAAGACGTACAAGCAGAATATAAATAGAATAAAAAGCATAAAAAGGTAAAACTCTTTCTCATCCCTTCTTCTTCACTCGGGCACTCCTTCTGAGTCATTATTCCACATGAAGATGGACAAACATTTCCAAGCCTAATATACACATCAAAGTCTCCCATTCTACAGACGACACTGCTGCCGCACTGATGTTGAAGTGCTAGTGAAAGACCACAGAGCTGGCAAGCTCTCGAGCTGAAATTCAAATCCAAATTTGTCTGACTCATAATTCAACGTGCATTCCTTCCGCTAAGCTCCGGGGTGTAAAATTTTATGGATGAAGAAACCGAGGCTCACAGACATCCTCGGCCATCAGAGCCACACGGTTCACTGCCCAGCATGGGAAAAGAGGAGGAGATGGCACGGGCTGCGTGGAGGAGAGGGCCTCGGCTTCGGTGGATCTCAGCTTGAGGAGGGCCACATGGGTCCAGTTTGTAAATCCCCCTTGCCCGTGCTCTTCGTGTACAAGCTCCACCCGAAGGCTGCTCTGACAGGGTCGGTGGGGTCCCAAACCCTGGGGTGGGGGCGGGAACGATGCCCGCATGGCCTCTAGCCGTCGGGGGCCGGCGCGTGGCGGGCGGGGCGCGGGCGGCACGGGGAGGAGCCTGCCGCGGGCGGGCGGCGCTGTCCCCGGGCTCCCGGCCCTGGTGGCGGCCGAGGAGGGCAGCTGGAGAGAGCGGGCGCAGAGAAGGTAGAGCCTCCCCGACCCCCGCCTGGGCTCTGATGGTCACGGAACAGCGGACCCTGGGCCGAATTCCTGGGGAGGGGGTCTGGTCCCATTACCCGGGCGAGGGCTTGAGCCAAGATTCCTATTAAGTCACATAGTGAAGTTGGAAAACATACGGGACCTCCCTGCAGCCGGCGCCACCCGCTCCTCCCCGAGGGGCTTCGGGAGGATGCACCCCTACGCCTGACTCCGAGAACGCAGGGATAGGGTGTCCGGGAGGGATGCGGGTGGGGCTCTTCGCACAGCACAGCCTTTTGGGAGAGGTTGGGGGGAAAGACAGACACCTGTTGGGATGGAATTCTAACAGGACAGCAACTCCCCTTTGCCAGTCCAGCCCTTACTAGCGCTCCTTTCTTCCTAGCTCATTTGCCCGAGGCGAGCCCAAGGGTGAAGGGGTTAGCTCCATACAGGTCACTTTCCTTGCTGTCAACGGCCCAGTGTGGGGTGTGAGCAGGAGCAGCCTAGGCTGGTCCTTACCAGAGTCCACCTTGACTTCAGGGTGGCCACCTCCAACTTCTGTCTTCCTCACCCTTGGCACAACAAGCATGCATTTGTGCCGGGAGGGGGAGTCTCCTGCTTCCCTATGCAGGGGAGGGTGGGGTGGACTTTTCCAGAGAGGGAGCCAGGCCTGGCCCTGGCCCCAGGAGCTCTCATCACCCCCCACCCCTCACTTCTCCAGGGAGCTGCCAAAGCCAGCTCAGGACAGGATTATGTGTACTGGGTAGACCACGGAGAGGCAGCAGGGACAGACCTGGGGGAGCAGAGAGAAGCAGGAGGTGGAGAGGGGACCAGCATCGGACAAGAGAGAGACAGGTGGTGCCCATCACTCCTTCTTCCAACTTCGAGGGGTTGAACATGGCTCCTTTTCCACCAGGGCTGTTGTGGACCTCAGTGGCTGGCCCAGCAAGGGGAAGGAGAGGGCTCAGCCACTTTGTTCCTGTCTTCAAATTCCCAAGTTCTGGGGTCCCGGGAGTGGGGGTTTGGCTAGCTTTTGCTTTCCCTCTGTTCTTTGCCTGCCCTGAGCTGGCCCTGTGTTGGCCAGCAATGCTTGGATTCCTCTGGTGGTGCCATTTAGATCCAACAGAAACAGTGTTTTTCCTGGAAAGCAGAGTTGAGATGGGATGAGGGGTGTGGGTGGGAAGGGCCTCAAAGAGAAGGAGGGGGCTGGAGGACAGGGCCTTGGGAGAGACAGGCTATGGAAGCCCCTCTCTACAGCATTCAAGGCTAGACTTCAGGGTGGACTTCCCGGGTATACCAGAAGGCGAAGCTGGTGACTGGGAAGGATGAGCAGCTATGGCTGCATCTCTCTCCTTCCTAAGTGCCCAGCCATTTTGGCTGAACATCGGAAGAAAAAAAAAGAAGAAGAAGAAAACTAGCTGTACATGAACTAGGTTGCCACGAGCCAAGGCCTCGTGGATGCTGGCACCCACAGGGAGGTTAAGTCACCGCCTCTTCTCTAAAGATGAAGCCATTAGCCCACTTAGTTTATCCCTTGGACAAAAAAGTGCCTGTGGTCACCCAGATGTGCCTGGCTGTTCCTTCATAAGGAGCTTTATCTAAGAGAGGGAGAAAGGTCTGGGAGGCAGGTAGGAAACAAATACTCGGGTTTTTTATTTTTATTTTTACTTTTTTTTTTTTTAAGGGGGAAAGAGTTTTTTTTGTTGTTGTTGTTGTTTTTGTTTTTTTGTTTTTTTTTTTTTTGAGATAAGGGTCTTGCATCACCCAGGCTGGATCTTCTGCTCCCCGACTCAAATGGTGGGATTAAGGCTTTTGCCCCCACACTTGGTGTCAAGGGCCCTCTGGTACCTCATAGGGGTACCTGGCATAGCCTGCCTCCTCTAGGTCCTGGAGCTCTGGGAGGAAGAACCTCCTGGTTCCCCCTTCCTCCACCCTGCCCTTCCTCGGGCCTCCAGAGGAGCTAAGTCCATCTTGGGCCACAGGGAGGGAACTAAACTGAACTGGAAGGCTGAGGTCAGACCCCCACCCTTGACTCAGCAGATGACAAAGACAGTGTTCCTTATTGCTCCCACCCTTAGGTCCTAGAGGGGTGGACCAGTTTTCCCTCCACTCTGCTGGTGCTGTGCTGGGACAGCCCTTTAGTCTTCCGGCAATCTGCAGGGGTAACCACTGTGCTTCTTCCTCAGAGTATCCTCCGTGCCCAGATGCCAGAGTAGCTAACCTGCCCCTGCCTCCCAGCCCAGGGGCAGTCAAGGGAGAGCAATGGAGACCTGGCTGGGCAGGTAAGAGCAAGGGCTGTCAGTCTCTAATAGTAAGAGCAGGGAAGGGGCCCGGCAGTTGTGGCACACACTTTAAACTTGGGAGGTAGAGGCAAGTAGATCTCTGTGAGTTTGAGGCTAGCCTGGTCTACAGAGAGAGTTTCAGGGCAGCCAGGGCTACACAGAGAAACACTGTCTTGGAAAACCAAAAAAAGAAAAAGAGAAGGTAAGGGATTGTTAGAAGGGGCCTGGCAAGTGACAAGGAACTTCTGCTTCCTGAGAAGTTGGCAGCCAGGATGTGGGGAGCCTGGGTGGGGGAGGGCTATGTTGTAACACTTCTGGCTCCCTCTAAAGTCCCCCACCCCCTTGGTGTGCAGGCTCTGGTTATGTGTAATGCTGTTTCTGCCTCTTCTTCAGCTCTGCCGGAATCAGGAGGTGAGCCCTAGCTAAGTGATCGGCTGCTACCCTGCTCAGGGTCCCTCCACTCTACCCTAGCCTGCCCTATCGGGAGGCTTCACATTCCCACGGGAGACTTCAGCCCTGTGTACCAGGCTTGGCCCACCCATCTCCCTTGCCAATTTCCTCTCTTTTAGTCAAAGAACATACACACGCGCGCGCGCGCGCACAGACACACACACACACACACACACACACAAGGCTGGAGTCCAGCCCTACCGGTACATGTGACCTTGGACAACTAACAACCCTTGAACCTCGACACTAATTCTAACCTTTTCTCCTATGTAGCTCTTTGGACCTTCTCTTCAGACACCAGCAGAGGAGGGCCAGGCCCCTGAGGGCCTCTGGGGACATTGGGGCCGGTGGGCCTCCTGCTCCCAGCCCTGTGGGGTGGGAGTGCAGCGCAGGAGCCGAACATGTGAACTGCGCCCAGGCCTACCCCTCCCTCCCCGACCCCCAAGACATCCAGAAGCCCTCCGGCCCCGGGGTCAGAGCTCTAGACCCCAGGTTTCCCGGGGTCCCCAGTCCCTGCACAGGCCACAGCCTCGGGGAAGGGGTGGCCCTCTTCAAGGTCCTGCTTCTCATCTGGGGAGAGAAAAGACCCAGGAGACTCCAGGGGCCCAGAGGTGAGGCCCTGAGGGCAGAGCCGAACAGGGAGGGGCACGGGGGCTTCGCCTCTGCAGGCTGACCTTCTAGGACATGGACTGGGGAAGACAGGCTAAAAGTCGACTCTGAGTCAGCACCATCCTCTCAGGTCCCGGGGTCGAGACCCTATCAAGCCAGGGATGTTTGGCTATGGGAGAGTGCCTTTTGCCTTGCCACTGCACCGGAGCCGCAGGCATCCCAGCAGACCCGAGCAACCCAAGAACTCTTCTACATGGGCAGAGGCCCTTCCATCCCAGCCTCCAAGCACAGAACTGGCTTCTGCAAACCACAGCTCTCAAATGCAGCTGCCTGAACTGCATGCCCCCTCCCGCTCCCCCGAAGCGGAAACCCCAAGGACAGGAAGCACTCAGATAGAGGTGCCCCCCAGAAGCAGTCCTGCTCCCTCTGACACAGGGATTCCTTCACCCATGTCCTTCTTTGGAGACAGTAGGTCTTTCCAGGGATCCCCTGGGCCACGAATGCCTACTTCCCAGGGTTGGAACAGTCCCCAGGGAACAGAGCGGCACCCTCATCCTTTCCCTTCTGTCCCCCGGAGTAGAGGCCAGCAGAGCAGGGGACACGGGAGACCTCGAGGGAGTTTTCACAGGTCCCCAGATGGCTGGCTGCCTCTGACAAGAGATTCCAGCCCCCTCTGGAGCCTTTTTGCTCCCAGTAGCCCTGTTCCAAAATGTTCTGGGGAAAATGAGCAGCTGAGAGCCTGCAGCCAGGAGGTGAGATCTCTGGGTCCCCAGCCTGAGTCCTCAGCTTGTGCTAAAGGTGGTGGGTCTATCTAACTTCAGGGCAGGAGCCTTGGTCTGTGGAGATGTCCCCAAGCCCCAGTCCAGCCCTGGCCTGCACCCCACGTTTCCTCTCCAGCGCTGATGTCTGTGTATCTGACTCCTCAGCCTTGCCCTCCTGAGCAGCCAGACCCCAGGGCCCTGCAATGTGCAGCCTTTGACTCCCAGGAATTCATGGGCCAGCTGTACCAGTGGGAGCCCTTCACTGAAGGTGCAGTTTCTAGTCCCCCTGGCAGGGTTGACTCAAGTTTGGGTGGCCCCTCTTTTCCTCCTGTGTCCTAATTCTCAGGACACATCAGAGACAAAGCAGCCTAGAGAAGGAGAAAAGCTTTCAGAAAATGATGGGTGGGTGGTCAGGACAGGAGACGGGCTGGGAGAGGGGGCTGTCTAGAGGTGCCCTTTGGCTGTGATCCGGGAGCGGGTGTGAACATGACTGGTTCACTGGTTCCAACAGAGAGCTACTATCTTTATGGTATCATAACAGTTGCTCCCAAGTTACTGTCCACTTGGACTTGGGTCCATGTCAGCTTGACACCAAGACAAACCTTCATGGGTTATGAACTCATAATCACAGGTGTCAAGAACCCTTTTAAGGAAAGGCAGGATGGCTCAGTGGGCAAAAGGAGATTGCCTCAAGCCTAATGACCCAAGTTTGGTCTCCAGACCTATCATGGAAGGAGAGAACCTACACCTGCAAGATGTTCTCTGACTCATACATGACTGACCATTCCTGTACACACTTAAAATAAGACAACAACACCACCAAAAAACAAACAAGGAACAAACAACAACAACAACAAAAAAAAACACACATACACACACAGTCAAAAAACAAAAAAACAAACCTTCTTGATGGCCAAGTGCAGAACTTCCCCCTTTTAGGAAAATAAGGTGAGAGAATCAGTAAAATTCATAAGTTTGAGACCACACAGCATAATAAAAACCCTAAGCGTGGGAACACCCCCCCTCCCAGCCTCTTCCTCCACAGCAGTTTCAGGGTGCTCCACATGCCATAAAGGCAGAATGCTGCCAGGGCTTCCTCCTTCAGGGACCCCAGCTAACTATCCTATATCTCATCCCTTAGTTCAGGGTTCCCAGCGCTGTGAACTGAACTGCCGCCCCCGGGGCTTCCGATTCTATGTCCATCACACCGAAAAGGTCCAGGATGGGACCTTGTGTCAGCCTGGATCCCTAGACATTTGTGTGGCAGGACGCTGCCTGGTGAGGGGGGTGCAGGGTGCTGGTGAGGGGGGTAGGACACTGGTGAGAGGGGCAGGACGCTGGTGAGGGAGGGCAGGGTGCTGGTGAAGGGGGACAGGGTGCTGGTGAGGAGGGCAGGATGCTGGTGAGGAGGGCAGGGTGCTGGTGAGGAGGGCAGGGTGCTGGTGAGGAGGGCAGGGTGCTGGTGAGGGGGTAGGACACTGGTGAGAGGGGCAGGACGCTGGTGAGAGGGGCAGGGTGCTGGTGAGGAGGGCAGGACGCTGGTGAGGAGGGCAGGGTGCTGGTGAGGAGGGCAGGGTGCTGGTGAGGAGGGCAGGGTGCTGGTGAGGAGGGCAGGGTGTTGGTTTGCACATGGGCACGCACACACACACCCTCCTTTAATTCATTATTACAACAGTGAAAACACCAGACTGAGGTGGCCAAAGGGAAGGTTCTTGCTGTCCAGCAAGGGGTGTGTTGTAGGAAGGATCCCACCAGACATGGCTATGCTTGGAGGAGCTCACAGAACATCTCACTTGTCAAGCAGGGCAGGGGGTGCGCTGGGGGCCCTGGGTGGAGTAGGGCCAGGTGTGAGGTGTGCCTGGCTTTTGTGTGGCCCCTGCCTCACCTCACTTTTCCCAGAGCCCCGGCTGTGATGGGATCCTTGGCTCTGGCAGGCGTCCAGATGGCTGTGGAGTCTGTGGAGGTGATGGCTCTACCTGTCATCTCGTTTCGGGAAACCTCACTGATCGAGGGGGCCCCTTGGGCTACCAGAAGATTCTGTGGATCCCTGCAGGAGCTTCCCGTCTGAAGATTTCCCAGCTCCGACCCAGTTCCAATTACCTCGGTGAGAAACTGGCCCTCAGTCCTAAGTCTTGGTCCACCCTGTTTCTTTGATCTGCCTTCCACACCCTCTTCAGCACAGCCAAAGGCCAAACAGGAAGAGTTTGGTGGCCTTCTCCCAAGCCTGGTGGAGAGGGTGAGGAAGGTGGATGGCTGAGGTCCCTAGGCTTTGGGCAGGTGGAAACTACACCACTGTCACTCAGCTCAGGTCTGTCTTTCAGCACTCCGAGGGCCAGGGGGCCGCTCCATTATCAATGGAAACTGGGCTGTGGATCCTCCAGGGTCCTACTCGGCCGTCGGGACTGTCTTCCAGTATAACCGTCCTCCTCGGGAGGAAGGCAAGGGGGAGAGCATGTCAGCTGAAGGCCCTACCACCCAGCCTGTGGATGTCTATGTGAGCCTGAGGCAGGAGATGGGGCTGTTGGAGTGGGAGGCCCCTTAGGGCAGAGCAGTGGGGGTCAAATAGGGGGAAAACCTGGTGTATGCCCCAAACATTTGTTATTTTCTCTCCTCAGATGATCTTTCAAGAGGACAACCCAGGTGTTTCTTATCAGTATGTCATTGCTTCCCCTCCTGCAGTCCTAGAGAGCCCTTCCACGAAGCCTCCAGCCTTCCAACTTCAGCCTGGTAAAACTAGGATCCTCAGACCAAAAGAGGAGGGCGCGGCTGTGAAGGGGCTCCGGGGTTGCAGGGCGGCATCTGACCTGGCCCCTGGACTCCCTTGCAGAGATGCTGAGCGGGGAAGCCCTACTTGCTTCAGCTCCTCGCCCAGTTCGGGCACCAGGCACCCTCCAGCGTCAGGTGCGGATTCCCCAAGTGCCTGTTGTGACTCACACCAGGACATCCCTGGGCACTGCAGCGGGATACTGGAAGCAGGTGGGGCACTCTGAGTGTTCGGCATCCTGTGGCAAAGGTGAGACTTCATGTCTGTCTTGCTGGCACCTCAGCCCAAATCCCTACTCTGTGTATCTATATAGTCTATATCCTGGATCGTGGGTCTGAACTGGACCGTGTCTGGAACCTCACTGGAACTGGGCTCTGAGCTCCTGCCTCCCTTGGCTGCCCTCTTATTCCCTTCAGGTGTTTGGCACCCCATTTTCCTCTGCATTTCCCGTGAGTCAGGAGAGGAGTTGGATGAACAGAACTGTGCCATGGGTGCCAGACCCCCAGCTTCCCCTGAACCCTGCCATGGGCCCCCGTGTCCCCCATAGTGAGTATGGTCCACAGGGAAGGTTAGATACTTAAAACACAATGGCCCTGGACTTGCTCCCACCCTCAGGCTCTTACCTGGACTCTGTAGCAATATCATAGTTCCTGGCTGCAGAGACATTAGATTAGAAAAGGTTGACACCCACCCCCCTCAACTGTAAGGAAACCCTGGCAGCTTCCTTCCCAGCTAGAAATATGGCCCCTCTCCTCTGAAGGTCCCAGCCTGGCATGCCCACACGTTTCCACCCATCTCTCCCCCTGCCCTGCCTATGTCCACAGCTGGGAGGCTGGTGAGTGGACTTCCTGCAGCCAGTCCTGCGGCCCTGGCACCCAGCACCGCCAGCTGCTCTGCAGACAAGAATTTGGAGACGGTGGCTCCTCTGTGCCCCCAGAGCGTTGTGGACATCTCCCCCGGCCCAATGTCACTCAGCCTTGTCAGCTGCACCTCTGTGGCCACTGGGAGATTAGCTCCCCCTGGAGCCAGGTGAATGGGTGAAGGCGAGGAGGACCCTTGAGAAGTGGACCCCAAAGAGCTACAGCAGTGACTTTTCCACCATTTTCCTTGTCATCAGAAACTTTATTAACAAGGCCTACATATAGCCCAACATTATTCAGATAGATGCACTGGGGTTGGCAGCCTGGAGCCCTGTGCTCCGCTCCCTCAGTCTGCAAAGCCCTGGTTATGTAGGAAGGCTGGAGGATGAGGGTAGGAGGACTGGAGGACGATGGCTGATGCCCAGTCTCTGTTCTCTCATCCTTCAGTGCTCTGTGCGCTGTGGTCGGGGTCAGAGGAGCAGGCAAGTTCGGTGCGTTGGAAGCAATGGTGACGAAGTGAGCAAGCAGGAGTGTGCTTCGGGCCCCCCCCCACCGCCCAGCAGAGAGGCCTGTGACATGGGACCCTGTACCACAGCCTGGTTCTACAGTGACTGGAGTTCCAAGGTGGGCCCCACACTTCTTTGTGCAAGTCAGGCTTTCCTGGTGACCATGTTCCAGGCCACCCTGGCACAGCCTGTCCAAAATGGATTGATAAGCTTTTGTTTTTCTTGACCTAGGAACTCAGAGATAAGTGAGTCATTTCACATCTGTCATTTTAGTACTTGGGAGGCTGGTGTGAGAAAACTGGCTCAAGTTCAAGGCCAGCCTGGATTACATAGTAAGTTCCAGGCCACATGAGATGTAGTAGAACCTGTCTTAAATAAATAAATAAATAAAAACAGGCTGGGTGAGGCAGTGCACACCTTTAATCCCAGCTAAGGCAGCTGGATCTCTGTGAGTCTGAGGCCAGTATTCTGGTCTACATACTGAGTTTTAGGCCATCCAGGGCTACAAAATGAGATTCTGTCTCAAAAAACAAAACAAAACAAAACAAAAAAAACACCACCACCACCAACAACAACAACAATAACAAAAAGTCCCAAACAAACAAAGAAACAAACAAACAAAAAAAAACAACGGGCTGGAGAGAACTCAGTAGTTAAGCCACTTCCTGCTCTTCTGGAGGACCTGGGTTCAGTTCTCAGCACCCAAATCAAGTGGCTTACTGCTACCTGTAACTCCAGCTCCAGGAGATCTGGTACCTCTGTGGGCATCTGTGGCACACACACACACACACACACACACACACACACACACACACACACACACACACACACACACACACACACGCACGCACGCACACACAAAAACATGCACAGGCACTCATGTGCATTCTCTCACACACCCACATGAACATTCACATACATGTGTTTTATGCATTTTTACAATTACCCCATTTCACCCAACTAGCTCGGAAGACAGTATTGTATAACAAAACGTTTCTTGGGGAGGGGGCACAATAACAAAGTAGAACAGTAGAGGGGCTGGCGAGATGGCTCAGTAGGTGAAGAGTACTTGCTGGGCAGGCCTGACGACCTGAGTGAGGAGGTCCCTGGAGGCTACAGTGGAAAGACAGCCCACTCCTATGCACCTGCATCACACGTCACACAGTAGCTGGATGTGGTGGGGAACACCTTTAATCCCATCACTCAGGAGGCAAAGGCAAGATGATCTTTGTGCGTTTGAGGACAGCCTGGTCTTCAAGAGAGCTCCAAGACAGCCAGAACTACATAAGAGAACCTGATTATTAAAGTAATAATAATAAATATTAATAATTACATAATACAGTAATTATAGAGTTTTACAAAAAATTAGGTAGGGTGCAACTAAGTTGGTAGTGTGCTTGTGTAGCACGTGTGAGGCCCCGCTTTTGATCCCCAGTATCACATAAACCAGGTGTAATGGCACACACCTGTAATCCCAGCACCCAGGAGGTAAAGACAAGACGATCAGAGATCCAAGGTTATCTCAGCTTCATACCAAGTTTAAGGACAGTCTGGAAACTGTCCAGCAGTCTGTCTCCCCTTCCAGGCTGGTACCCCAGGGCATTCCTGAACTCCTGGGATGTGGGCCCTGCCCACCTCAGTCCCAGTCACCAGCAGCCTCCCTTCACACAGGCCACTCTCCCTCTCAACAGTGCTCAGCTGAGTGCGGGACAGGAATCCAGAGACGCTCTGTGGTCTGCCTTAGGAGTGGGGAGACCCTCCAGGAGGACCAGGAAGCAGGAGCAGGAAGCACTGAGCATGGCTGCCCTCTCAGAAGCCGCCCTCCTGACATGCGCGCCTGCAGCTTAGGGCCCTGTGAGAGGACATGGCGCTGGTACACAGGGCCCTGGAGTGAGGTCAGCTGAGTTGAGGGTTTGGAGATGGGGGACAGGAGGGAAGTCAGTCCCCGTGAGTCCCGCATCGGGACTAAGAGTGGTCTCTCTTCCCTTCCCTTACAGTGTTCCTCAGAGTGTGGGTCTGGCACACAGCACAGAGACATCATCTGTGTGTCCAAACTGGGAGCTGAGTTCAATGTGACGTCTCCCAGCAACTGTTCCCACCTCCCCAGGCCCCCTGCCCTGCAGCCATGTCAGGGGCAGGCCTGTGAGGACCGATGGTTTTCTACTCCCTGGAGTCCGGTGAGTGCCTGGCTCCCTTGTCCTGCTCCACCTGGGCCTCTAACAAGAAGGGCTTTTCTCAGTGCACTGCCCTGGGCACCTCGGCTGAGCTCTCATGCCGTCCCACTTCCTGTTGACTAGGAAGACTGGTGGACCCTTTCTATTTGGGATTTTACAATGTCCCACCACTATCTTTCCGAGAGGGAGGGGAGCAGCCCTGGAAACTTTAGAGATTTGATCTGATGGGTATGGTCTCCCCAGTGTTCTCGCTCCTGCCAGGGAGGCATGCAGACGAGGGACGTCCAGTGCCTGAGTGCCAATCAGACTCTCAGCACCCGATGTCCTCCTCGCCTGCGACCTTCCAGGAAGCGGTCCTGTAACAGCCAACCCTGCAACCAGCGCCCTGGTAAAGAGCTTCCCGGCCCACCCGTAGTGGAGGGGATTTGGCTGGGATGTGGGCAGATGTGAGACGGGCTGGTGGGAATGGGTAACACTTGAGAGGGATGATGTCAGCGCTGCCTTGTGCCATTGACCTGTCTCCAGATGACCAATGCAAGGACAGCTCTCCACACTGCCCCCTGGTGGTACAGGCCCGGCTCTGCGTCTACCCCTACTACACAGCTACCTGCTGCCGCTCATGTGCCCACGTCCTGGACCGGTCCCAGCTGGAGCCTGCCTGAAATGGGTCCAAGAGATCCTTTCTTCATGGGTTTCTTATGCCACCACTGGCCACCCGCTGACTATCCCACTCTGTATCCTCTGGCTTTTCACCTGGTCTGGGTCTCACCAGGGATGTCCTCTAGGGGGAGAGGACAAGGTGACTGTTGACCTGCTGTTGGGTTTGCACTACAATGTGACACCCTGGGATGTGTACCTGGCCTGCCTGGGTGTTTGCCCCTGTGTATGTGTCACTTCCTCAAAAAAGCAAACTGAGGAAGAGGGGGAAGTGCACAACACCTGTTTCCCGGATGCCTTCTTTTTCCACGCTAGTCTGAGCTACATAGCATGTGCCCTGTAAGTTCCAATTTTATGTCCCAATCCTCATTTCCAGGCCAGGCCTCACACCATTAAGCTACCCTGTTGTTCCTACCCCTTCATCCCTCCCTCATTAGCTAGGGGACCCCTGCTACCCTACCTTGCCCAGGAAGGACCACACCTCTCCAGAGCAGGGACCAGTGTGAGGAGGATGAAAAAGAGAGATGTCAGCATTAAGACACCCTAGCCCCGGCCCCCACTTCACACTGGTGACGCCCATCCCAGAACTAATTTATTTTTTATTAAAGTTGATTGTGACAAACATTGCTCTTCATTATCCTCACGAGGACCCTGCCATCTGAGCAGTGCGCTGCCAGAATCTGGTGTGGGGAGGGACGGGAGGAAGGGTCGTCCCCAGGGCTGTGGAGGGTGCGTCAGAGCCGCCTGGCTCAGAGGCTGGGGATCCTGTGCGGCCCCAGAACTGCAGACGGCTCACTGGCCACTAGAGGCCACTACCTCTTCCCGTTTAGGGGTAGTGATGGGTGCGTGCTTGGATCACCGCAGAGTCTGTGGTGGGCTTTCGGGTAGGCTCTTCCGGTGGGTGGTCTGCAGGAACCCAGAAGGACTTTTCAATTCAGAGCCAAGCAGGCTGGCTCAGTGTACGTGTGGGGGTCCTCTCGCCTGGGCCTTGGCTTGTCTTCTTTTACCCACTTCCCTGTTCAATACTTGGCTTATTGCTTCCCATGGGTGCTCGTGGCCGAGACTTGCTCAGCAGAATCCGAGCCCAGCCTGGTTCCCCGGGACTGCAGGAGGAGGGGGGAGTGGCCAAGGCAGTACCGGATGTCCTGCCAGAGACACATTCCTCAGAGATGCCTCACTAGGCATCACTCCTTCCTCCTCCCCTCCCCATGTTTCTTTCAAAGTAAATAACTTTCTAAGGCAATGGGAAGGGGACAGCGTTTTCCACCGTGCAAACCGTTCCCGGACCGCTATAGTTCTGAGAGCTGAGTTCGTGCCTCTGGAGGTAGCTCCATCCCGCCCCTGCCTCTCCAGCACACTGAGTTTGGCCATTAGCAGAGGCCTGCAGACAGTTCCACCCGGTGACTGCTGTTTCCTGATCATGTCTAGATTCCCTAGAAGCAGGAGCTTCAACTGTAGCGAAGCCCTTTAGTTCATGGCTGTCCTGGGCTGTGTGTGGCTGAGCAGACAGAAGACAGCATAGTGGGAGGACAGTGGGTGCGGAAGAGGGGAGGGAGATGTACCCACAGGGTGATCCCAGCACTCGGGAGACTGAGGCAAGAGGGTCACATGGCCTGCCTGGGCTATACTGTGAGACTCTGTCTCAAAACAAAACAAAACAAAACACCAGGGGGTGAAAAAAAAAACAACTGACTTTTGGTTCAAGGCAGGGCTTAAGCAAGGAGGCTACAACAATGTCCTGCGTTGGCCGGCTGGGAGGTATTGAGGCACTCAGGGAGGCAAGAGGTAGAGGCAGGTGGATCTCTGTGAGTTCAAGGCCAGCCTGTAGACAAAAAGCTAGTTCCAGGACGGCTAGGGGCACACAAGGAAACCCTGTCTGGAAAAAAAAAGAAAGAATGCCCTGCTCTGAAGAGATGTCAGATGTGTTTCTTTCTCTGGTGAGCCTGGAAGGGAAGTCAAAGATGCAGGGCCCACCAAGTGGGGACCAGACTATAGACACAGGCAGTGAAGGCAGAGTCCCAAGGGCAAGCGAGGGTGGCTGTGGTCCCAGGCCCTCCCATCAGTTCCTGGAAGCAGGGCTTGCTGGGGTGGAGGCCGCAGCTCAGCTGACTTCCCCTCCCTTTTCAGGCCTCTTAGGGCTGTTGCTGGGCAGGTTCAGAGTTTGGTCTGGACTTGACAGCCAATCACAGGTGGAGAACACAGCCACAGCCCTCTAGGGTTCATTCAACATCATGAACACCTCCTTTCTTTTCCAGATAGCCTTTGAGCTTGCCTGTTACTCTGGAGAGGGGAGGTCCTGCCCTCTTCTTGCTCACTGTAAAGAAGAAGGGTCCTTGCAGGCCCTAAGGATGGTCCTGTGGTCACTGAGCGCAGTATGGCGTCAAAGCGGACATGCCTGGGAAAGGAACCTGACTTACAGCAACCTTTCCCCTCGCACCCTACAAGGCAGTGTGGCCAGACACTGCTTTGCTGACCTCTGGAACCCTTAGAGGGTCTGAGTAAGGAAGTTAAAACCCAAAGGGCAGATTGGTGTGGTGAAGCCCCTGGTTCTGATGCAGGAGGGGAATTTAGGGAAGGACTTAAGAGGAACTGGACCTGTGAGACAAGATGGGAGTGGTGGTGACAGGGGCAAATGACATGCAGAGAGCTCAAGCATGCAGAGGCCAACACATAGCCTCATTGCTGAGTGTCTGCTGGGGGAGGAGCTGGTTCTCAACTCAGCTGTGCTGGGGCATAGCTGAGGGAGAGAGTCTACTTTGCATGCATGAAGTCCTGGGTCATGCATTATTTTTTAAAAGCTCCAGTGAGTAGGGATTCCCCTCCCCCTTGCTTCAACTTCCTGGGGTAAATACCCACTCATTTTAAGCTGTAGCCTTTCTCCTAAATTTATCGACCAGACTTCACCACCTGGCTAGGCCACCCTGTAAGCAGGTAGGTGCTCACAGCTGCAAAGGTGGGCCTGATGGAGTTTCAACATTCCCTTCATGTCCACTCATGGAGACTCCACTTTCTGGTCAGGAGTGGAGTAGAGCACAAAATATCAGGCTGCTGCCCAGTGCCTGAATGTCTGACACAAGTCTCTCTCTCTCTCAAGAAACCCACAGGAAGACTACAGCTGAGGACCAAGTGGACGTTAAAGATCAAGGATGTGGGTGGAGAAAACTCAGGAGCCACAGCCACCTCCTGGATTCTCTTCAGCTGGCCCTCCTTTTTCTTACCTGCCCTCTGCAGCTCTGGTTTGCCTAGTTTCCCGTGCCTCTTAAGTGCTGGGCGTGCCACCATGCCAAAGCCAACGTTTTACAGACTGCTTTCTCCTCTCCTACCAGTGAACTGAATCAGGGGGGCTTCTCTTGCAGCTCTGAGCACTGTGCTAGAGATCTGAATGGAGGTGGGAGTGTCCCTTTCCGAAACCCAGCACCTTTCAAACCCACCGTGTCTCTGGGCTGAGTGAGGGTGTCTTCCCAGAGGGTTGCTTGTTGCAGGAAGGTGAGGAGGTGAGAAAAGCACCTTTGTACAGGAAGTAAAAAGTCTCAGGAAAGTACCTAAGTCTGACAAGACACAAACAGTTTGGGTTAGCCTCAGCACCAGTCACCAATCTGAGTTTCAGCTCCTTCACCTGAGAGCTGGGGGGAAACTTCAAAGGCGGGTGTTTGGGGCTGAGGTGGAAGGTTTGGAAGCCAGAGAGCTGGGCCTGCTGTACCACTTTGCACCACCACTTGAGGCTGGGAATTATCAAGAGTTCTAGGCCAGGCTGGGCTACGGAAAGAGACCCTCCCCTTCACTCCACTCCCACAAGAGGGAAACAGATAGATGGGGCATCCACTTCCTGTCTGAGAACCAAAACCTGTTGGTTCAGCTGTGAAGGACTCAGCACCCCACCCCACACCCCGAATTTGTGTGTGGGAGGAGCATTCAAGCCCCACAGCTGAAGTCAGGGACAACTTCCAGGGTTAGTTTATTTTACCACGTGGGTCCAGGGATCAGAACTCAAGTCATCACACTTGGCAGTAAGTGCCTTTACCTGCTGAGCTGAGCCATCTCCTGGCTCCACATTAGATTCTTGTAGGCTTTGCCATAAGAGAGCAGCAGCACACTGTATGCCTGGATCCTTGTGCTGAGGGAAAGGCGCGGCATGGGCTTACCTATCAAGGGAGGCGGTGTGTCCATATGCCCCGGGGTTACCTTACTTTCTCTTACAGCAAAGCTGCCCTGCCCTCGCTAGGACTGATCATTGGCTGCTCACCTGTTTGTTGTTGTTTTTATCTTATGTGCATTGGTGTTTTGCCTGCATGTGTGTCTATGTAAGGGTGTTGGATTCCCTGGATTGGGAGTTACAGACAGTTGTGAGCTGCCATGTGGGTGCTGGGAGTTGAACTCTGGAAGAGCAGCCAGCGCTCTTAACCCCTGAGCCATTTCTCCATTTTTTTTTTTTTCTTGTTTTTTAAGAAAGGGTTTCTCTGTGTAGCCCTGGCTATCCTGGAACTTGCTTTATATACCAGGCTGGCCTAGAAGTCAGAGACAGTCCACCCTGTCTCTGCCTGCCAAGTGCTGGGATTAAAGGCATGCACCAGTTGTTTTTGAGGCAAGGTTTCTTATAGCTTAAGTTATAAATTAAGCATTACTTAACTCCAGATCTCCAGATCTTCCTGCCTCTACCTCCCAAATGCTGAGATTACAGACATGTGCCACCATGCTTAGCCTCTCTCAAAATGAGACTTGTTTTTTGTGCCGTCCAAGGTTGAGCAACCTTTTCTCTATCCAACTAGATGGTCAATCTTAGGTTTTGCAGGCTGCATCACCTCTGCTGCCACTATGCACCTCTGTGGGTTGCACTACAGGAGTGATGAACACAGACACATGAGCAAAGCTGTGTTCCCATTAAAATCTAGGACACTGGAACTTTCAATTTCATAATATTTCCACACATCACAAAATGCTTTTCAGACTTTTACTAACCATTTTTAAAAATGCAAGTCAAGCTATTAAATTGGCTGAGGGGGTCATGGCACTTGCCACCAAAACTGATGCCAAGATAGACCCTTGGGATCAAGGCCTACAAGTTATCTTTTGACCTTCACACCTGCGCCTCTCCCCTACCTCCATGTGCCGAGCCAGATGGTTTGGTGAGTGAAGGTGCTGCTTGTTGCCACACATGACTGCTGGAGTTTGATTCCTAGATTCCACAGGGTAGGAGAGAACTGACTCCTGAAGGTTGACCTCTGTTCTCTACCTGTGTGATGTGGCACATAGGTGTTTCCATTGACAGACACAAAAAAAGGTAGTAATTACTTAATGTAAGATTTTTAAAACGCAAGCCAGGTGTTGATGATGCAGGCTGTTGCCAGTAGCCCTGGGATGTGGGAGCTGGGCCAGGTTGTTGTTGTTATTGTAAGCAGTAAGAATTATGGACTCCAGCTAGGTGGTGGCGGCACACACCTTTAATCCCAGTACTCAGGAGGCAGAGGCAGGGGAATGGATCTCTGTGAGTTAGAGGTCAGCCTGGTCTACAAAGGGAGTTCCAGGACAGCTAGAGTTGAACCCTGTCTCGAAAAACAAGCAAACAAAAAAAGGACACCCCGCCCTACAAATTCACTGCTCAGTTCCCTCAGTATGCTGTTTTAA